CTTCAGTATCTGGCCTTCTAAAGAGCAGTCAGGGTTGATCTCCTCTAAGATTGACCGGTTTGGTCTCCTTGCAGTCCAAGGGACTAGCAGGAGTCTCCCTCCAGCACCACAATTCAAAGGCCTCAATTCTTCGGCACTCAGCCTTCCTTATGGTCCAGCTTTCACAGCCATACATTGCAACTGGGAAAACAATAGCCTTAACTATACGCACTTTTGTTGGCAAGGTGATGTCTCTGCTTTTTAGTGTGCTGCCTAGATTTGCCATAGCTTTTCTTCCAAGAAGCAAGCGTCTTTCAATTTCTTGGCTGCAGTCACCATGATCATGGAGCCCAAGAAAATAATGGAGCCCTACCTCCATTTCTTCCCCATCTATTTGCCAGGAAGTGAGAGGACCGGATGCCATGATCTTAGTTTTCTTAATGTTGAGTTTCAAGCCAACTTTTGCACTCTCCTCCTTCACCCGCATCAAGAGGCTCTTTACTTCCTCCTCACTTTCTGCCATTAGAGTGGCATCGTGTGCATATCTGAGGTTGCTGATATTTCTCCCAGCAATCTTAATTCTGACTTGTGATTCATCTAGCCTGGTCTTTCGCATGATGTACTCTGCATACAAGGGTGACAGTATACAGTTCTGTCGAACTCCTTTCTCAATTTTGAACCAATCAGTGGTTCCGTCTCCAGTTCTCACTGTTTCTTCTTGACCTGCACACAGGTTTCTCAAGAAACAAATAAGATGGTCTGGTACTCTCATCTCTTTAAGAACTTGCCACAATTTGTTGTGATCCACACAATCAAAGGCTTTGGCATAGTCAATGAAGCAGAAGTAGATGATTTCTGGAACTCCCTAGCTTTCTCCATGATCCAGCGTATGTTGGCAATTTGATCTCTAGTTCCTCTGACTCTTCGAAATCCTGCCTGTACTTCTGGTAGTTCTCGGTCCACATACTGCTGGAGCCTAGCTTGTAGGATTTTGAGCATAACTTTGCTAGCATGTGAAATGAGCGCAATGGTGCAGTAGTTTGAACATTCTTTGGCATTGCCCTTCTTTGGGATGGGAATGTAAACTGACCTTTTCCAATCCTGTGGCCACTGCTGAGTTTTCCAAATTTGCTGGCATATTGAGTGTAGCACTTTTACTGCATCATCTTTTAGGATTTTGAATAGCACAGCTGGGATATTGTTGCCTCCACTAGCTTTGTTGTTGCTCAGACTTCCTAAGGCCCATTTGACCTCACATTCCAGGATGTCTGGCTCGAGGTCAGACACCACCCCATCATGCTTATCAGGGATGTTAAGGTCTTTCTTGTATAGTTCCTCGGTGTAATCTTGCCACCTCTTCTTAATCTCTTCTGCCTCTGTTAGGTCTCTGCCATTTTTGTCCTTTATCATGCCCATCTTTGCATGAAATGTTCCCTTCATATCTTCAATGTATCCTACCTACAATATCTATATCTGAGTCTTATCCATTGCTCAGTAAGTTGCATAGTTCTTCCTTCTGGCATGACCTACAGTCAGTGCAAACATACTGACAGACAGCATTTCTCCAATCCACATAGCTCAATAGTGACCGCTCTGTAGGATTTCAGGGAGAAGCTTGCAATCATCACCCAATATATCATCTGTTTCTATGTAAATTAGTCCGTTGGATCATTTCGCAAATATAAATATTTACACTTAACCTATCAAACAAAGACATTTCATGAGAGTGAATACTTCATTCTGCTCAAACTGTGCTTTATGGCATTTCATTGTTTGCTATTTTGTTTTTGTGAAGATGTGAGTACAATGAGCCAAGGCAGCATAAATCAGAAAGGACAAGTACTTGGAAGAAGAAAAAAGACAACAATGTGAAAACGTTCTTAAATTATTTACTTTTTCATTGCACCTTTCCCTCCACTCTATATCGACATACTTTACCCTCAGAAATTTGTATTATCTTCTGGTTGTAAAAATGACACTATTATGTTACTAAACCGTCCCACTGATTTTAGTAAGAATTCATTTTAATCAAACCTAGCCCTAAGATTAAAAAAAAGGTAAGGAAAGTGTGCAGAATGTAAACAAAGTAACAAAAAGATGCATGGGTAGTTCTAACAATAAAACAATGTAAATATTGCTCTATTTAGCTGTAAATTAGCATGGCTTAGTGGTCAGATTTGCACAATGGTTTGGAAAATACAAGAAATAGTACGAATGCAAAGCTTGCTTTAAAGCAACAACTTAAACTAAGCTTTTTTCTTGCTGATTTAAATTACAATTTTAAACTTTAAACAGCCTAATATCAATTAGCCCTTATAAGAATTTAAAAGATACCCATACACATATGCACTCTTGCATGGATGGCTACCCATCTAAAGAGCTTTCCATTTAAAGAAGAATCTACCTCCCAGTGAAATGACAAAAATGTTGACCCATCTTTTTGGGATGTTAATGGAAATGCTTGTAAGCAATACTTTTGATAAATCAAGCATGCAAATTTAGATGTGCCAAAGCTTCTGTTCACTTTAGTCTCAGTAAGAAATGTCTGAGAAATCGACAGTATTTGGATTTCAATAAACCTGGTTTGCAGATTCCCATAGCAGACCAACTTCTCCCAAATCACACAGATTCCATGGACTTTTCACTTCAGGGGTGGTGGTGGGGGGGTGTTAATTTGCATTGGCATAAGTGCACATTTGAGAAAGGAGGTCAGCAAGGCTGTATACTGTCACCCTGCCTATTTAACTTATATGCAGAGCACATCATGAGAAAGGTGAGGCTAGATGAATCACCAGTTGGAATTAAGATTGCTGGGAGAAATATCAACAACCGCAGATATGCAGATGATACCACTCTCATGGCAGAAAGTGAAGAGGAAGTAAAGAGCCTCTTGAAGCGGGTGAAAAAGGAGAGCGCAAAAGTTGGCTTGAAACTCAACATTAAGAAAACTAAGATCATGGCATCCGGTCCTCTCACTTTCTGGCAAATAGATGGGGAAGAAATGGAGGTAGTGACAGGTTTTATTTTCCTGGACTCCAAGATCACCGCAGACGGAGACTGCAGCCAAGAAATTAAAAGATGCTTGCTCCTCAGGAGGAAAGGTATGGCAAATCTAGACAGCATACTAAAAAGCAGAGACACCACCCTGCCAACAAAAGTGCGTATAGTCAAGGCTATGGTTTTCCCAATTGCAATGTATGGCTGTGAAAGCTGGATCATAAGGAAGACTGAGCGCTGAAGAATTGAGGCCTTTGAATTGTGGTGCTGGAGGAGACTCCTGCAAGTCCTGTGGACCGCAAGGCGATCAAATTGGTCAGTCCTAGAGGAGATCAACCCTGACTGTTCTTTAGAAGGCCAGATACTGAAGATGAAATGCAAATACTTTGGCCACCTAATGAGAAGGAAGGACTCCCTGGAGAAGAGCCTAATGCTGGGAACAATTGAAGGCAAAAGAATGAAGGGACGGCAGAGGATGAGGTGGCTGGATGGAGTCACTGAAGCAGGGGTGTGAGCTTAAGTGGACTCCGGGGGATGGTGGTGGACAGGAGAGCCTGGAGGAATGTTGTCCATGGGGTCGTGATGGGTCGGACACAACTCTGTGACTAACAACAGCAACAACAACAACAAAGTGCACATTAATGGTAATGCAGAGTTGTGCAAATGTGCTAATCCAATTAGTTTGTGTGAATTAGTGGTAATGTGTGTTTGCTAAATAGAAAGCAATTCTATATTTAAAAAGCAGATTTCATCAATGAGCAGATGATGAAATAGAAGACCCTTACACTCTACAAATCATGAATGGTCTGCACACACACACACATATATGTGCATACCTAGTCCTAGTGTAACTCCTATTTTAAAACTTCATGGAACTATATTGTACCAAAAATACCATGAAAAAACAAGTTTCTCGCTCAGAACTGCTTTTTCTGCTTTCACATACGAAACTTAATTTATACTTAAATTAGCCTAAAGTGCTCATGAAAAGCAGATGTTCACTCTATTGGTCTTCCAGCATTAACAATATTTAAATACTTTCTAAATCTAAAAGGTTATTCTCACATGATAAGAAAGTCGCAGACTTGTCCACTCTTGTTAACAAGGCTACCATGAAAGGAACGGGATGCTTACTGATTTAAATGAGGGAAAGAATGGGGAAGGCTCAGCACTTCCATAAAGAAATTCTTACCTGGTGTCTGGAAATTAAGAGCCACCATCTGCGAGCCACAAAACCAAAAGCGGAAGGGATCATAATTCGAGGAGTCCACCCTTTGCCCTTTTGGATATATCCGCGTCAGTCCCTTCTGATTGTATTTTAGTAGATCAGTGGGCTTCTGCTTGACTATGCTTTCCGCCTTGGTCTCCACAAAGGAACGGATTTCTTTGAAATTGGGATTTTCTACAAAAAAGCAGAGTTGGGAAGGAGCTGCTAGTTAATATACGTTTCCACTGATGTGTTGTGTTGTCAACTGCAAAGCTGAAATAATCCCATGCTTAAGAATGTTTTCTCAGCTGCTGAAACTGTTCTGCCCAGTCTGTTGGGTCACACTGTCCACTGATCGAGCGACGAATGTGATAGAGCTCTTCTGGAATGTTTCATGCACATCTCTTGAGCAACACAGCTACACATGCAGTAATGCATACAGGTAAATAGGAGATCCTTTAAATGGATTAGAACAGTTTTAGAAAAGTGTTTTAGCCGTGGTTTGGTGCTCTATACAGTAGTCCCCCGAAAATCCTAAAGCACCCACAAATTGTGAAAAGCCACGAATTTGGTGCTGGCGATGGGCGCCGGGTGCCGGCCGCCAAGGCAGTGCAGGCGGAAGGCGCGGGATGGGCCGGGCCGGGGGTGGCACACACAGAGATTATTTTTTCCGAGCGAGTCCAAACTCGGAGGAAACAATCTCCTTGCGAGTAAGCCACTGCACAGCGAGGTGCCGGCTTACTCACAAGGAGATTGGCTTGGACTCGCTTGGAGAAAAATTCTGCGAAAGACTGAGGCCGTGAACGCTGAACTGCGACTTCACGGGGGTATACTATAAATCATTTGTCAGAGAATTCCTTAACAACCTACACCACTGAATAGGAGAGTTCTGCTCAGAAGCCCCAAGGAAGACCTGTGAGCTGAAGAATCCATGCAGGGGAACTATCCCAATAGGAGAAAGACTGGGCAGCAAATGGTCAGGCTCCAACAGAACAACTTGAAAGGTGATGAGGCTGCTTCACTCTTTCCTGCCCTGGAATTAGGCACCTAACCTGCAGCATGGCTTCAGTTCTGGGCCTCTGTCCAAAATGCCACAGTCTCTGCTTCACTGGGGCTGGAGCTGGGAGATGAGGTTAGTTAAAGTTGCAGTTCTTCCCACTCTCTGACATTCACAAACAGGGCACTTCCCCAGGGGGTAGTCTCAAGGCCACTGGCCTCCATCAACTCCCCTCAATTCCATCAAATACTAGGACCATGAACAGTCCTCAAGACCCATCTAGTTTTGAGCCAGGAAGGTTATGTAATGTGGCTGGTGAGGTACCTGCTTTGGTGCAGCAAAAGAGAGGGCCCTGTCTCATGTCCGAGCCTGTCATGCTTTCAACATAGGAGCAGTCAGATATCTAAGTATCATAGCCCAGAAGTAGTTTGCCTATTTTAAAGAATATAACTATCCTTTCTAAAAACTGCAATCAACAAGCTGCTGATCATTTCTAGCAACCAGCAAATAAAAAGTCAAAATGCGTAATAACAAACAGATTACCTAGATTATCCTTGGTTTTGCTTGTGGGTATGCAGTAGATTACCAAATCAGATAATTCCATGGCTATTAACTGCTTCTTTTCCCAGTATGTTCTGATATTTGCCTATATGCAGATGTTATAAGAAGAAAAACTCATTAGTTGGCTATATATGACTGTACCAGTACCATTCAACTGGTGTCAAAGTAACAGAAAATTGTGTCATTAATCTTTATGCTGCAATTTTAGAGTTACCTCTAAGGAGTTCGGCAAGGGTGTATACTGTCGCCCTGCCTTTTTAACTTATATGCAGAGCACATCATGAGAAAGGTGGGGATAGATGAATCACAGGTTGAAATTAAAGTTGCTGAGAAAAATATCAACAACCTCAGATATGCAGATGATACCACTCTAACGGCAGAAAGTGAAGAGGAACTAAAGACCCTCTTGATGCAGGTGAAGGAGGAGAACACAAAAGTTGGCTTGAAACTCAACATTAAGAAAACTAAGATCATGGCATCCGGTCCTATCACTTCCTGGCAAATAGATGGGGAAGAAATGGAGGTAGTGACAGATTTTATTTTCCTGGGCTCCAAGATCACCACAGATGGGGACTACAGCCAAGAAATTAAAAGACGCTTGCTCCTGGGGAGGAGAGCTATGGCAAATTTAGACAGCATACTGAAAAGCAGAGACATCACCCTGCAAACAAAAGTGCGTATAGTCAAGGCTATGGTTTTCCCAGTTGCAATGTATGACTGTGAAAGCTGGACCATAAGGAAGGCTGAGCGCAGAAGAATTGAGGCCTTTGAATTCTGGTGCTGGAGGAGACTTCTGCGAGTCCCTTGGACCGCAAGGCAATCAAACCGGTCAGTCCTAGAGGAGATCAACCCTGACTGCTCTTTAGAAGGCCAGATACTGAAGATGAAACTCAAATACTTTGGCCACCTAATGAGAAGAAACGACTCCCTGGAGAAGAGCCTGATGCTGGGAACAATAGATGGCAAAAGAAGAAGGGGATGGCAGAGGATGAGGTGGCTGGACAGAGTCATTGAAGCAGTTGGTGTGAGCCTGAGTGGACTCCGGAGGATGGTGGAGGACAGGAACACTTGGAGGAATGTTGTCCATGAGGTTGTGATGGGTCGGACATGACTTCGTGACTAACAACAACAACTACAAACTCAAGTTCTTAATTGCACTAAGATGGAGCAAGAATTGTTATTTACCAGAATATGAAACACACAACTGCAATTTCAAACAAAGCATTGACTCAAATTTAATAGAATGTACACGTTTTGGTGGTACTATTAAGATTTCAGATGACAAATCTAAACCTTTCAAAAATTCAAAAATGTCATGCTTTGATTTTATGAAAAACACACATTTTGCAACCAATTATAGTTTTGGAAGGCAGCAGGGAAATTAAGAGATAACACTTGCTTAATAGTCTCACGTGTATCTCACGGCAAGGATATATAAGGAGGGAAGGCCTCTCCCAAAGTCTATGGCTTTTTTTACAGGAAATTAAAGAGTCTTTGTTTGCAAGCTTGCTTGCAAGGGAGTAAGCTAGTGGATCTTCAAATCAAAACTCTTACTAGAATTAGCTACTGATTAGTTGAGTAGGAGCAAGATTTCTACCTCTTCAGCAGTTCTCCATGTGATCTCCCTGATGTTTTGATACCACTCAAACAGCTCTTCCACTTTGTCTGTGGCGAATTCAATGGGCAGATCAGTATTATTCTTGGGTTCCAGGACGAAGACAAAATCTTTCCCATATTTTCCCTGTGACATTTTTGCTGTTGGGAATCGAAAACAGTAAAAGCTCAATATGTGCAGCATAAGATCCTCTTGCCATCTTACAACACACACTGAGCCCAAGTTTCTGCAAGAAAATTCGCAATCTCGTGGTCATTTTATTCTAGGTAATAAAATGCACGCAGTTTTCCAGAGTTCGTATATTTTCCCAGCAATGGTTTATTTATTTTCTGAGTGGTAGAATGCACTCTCTGCTTGCAGAAGGGCCAAGCCTCAATGCCTAGGATCTCTAGAAAGGCCTCAAAAAGATTCCTGACAGCCTTGACAGATGCTGCCAGTGCTGAGGTAGATGAGCAAATGGTGTGACTTAGGGTAAGGCAGCTTTCTATTACTATTGTCACTGTTCTGCCAAATACGTTAGCAAGTGCATCACATGTGGAATATTGCTTCTCCCTTACTCCACAATTTGATGATACAACCCCTTTCTCAGATTATTTTTGTCCACATTTTCAAATTTCATTTAGTGAGCATGTCCCTCTTCTTTCTACAGGAGTGCTCATCTAGCTACCTTTGCAGTGGCAAAAAGCAACAATACCAGTTTCATTCCTTGGATTATAGCTTTATTCTTTTAAATTTGAGGTCCCATGCTATCCATCCAGCCATTTCCTCATACCACAAAGGAAGCTTTGTTCCTCCAACAATTATACCTGGACATGGAAATCTTACCGCCCTTGAAAGAGAACTTAGCATTTGAAGATTAAAATACAGCTGAGGCAGGATTCTGATGGATAATGCAGGAAAAACCCCAAAGCTTAAAAGCCAAGTAACTCAGCAAATGCAATACTGTGCGTGCTTAAACGCCTAAAGTTTTAAGAAGTTTTTTAGGGAAAGGTTTGGTGTTGTAAGACCTTTTTCTGACTAAACATACATAGAATTGCATCATGAGATTTTATAACACAGGGTTATATCTGGTGGGGTTTCCAACATTCCATTCCTTTCTATATTTGTGTGTTATATACATTTATATTGACTCTACATGAGACATAAATTGGATACAACGTATCTAATCCCTAAGGAAATTTTACTGATTGTTTTCTTTTCATATCAAAACCTGTTTTCCTTGAACACAAGCGACACACAGACAGTCAGAGGGCTACATACCAACATTATACATATTGAGGTCCAAAATACCCCGGCATAATGATCCTAAAGGGTTATCTTCAATTATCTGCAATTAAAATATATGCATTTGAAAACAATCATTTTACCCATTTGATGCATCACAAAATGGGCAATACATAAAGCTAGTTGCCATATATTCATTAAAACTTCAAGAACAATATTTAAAAATAGCCATTTTAAATGTGTGATTTATTCACAATTTACTTAATTTTGTTCCATTTTAAAAGCTTCTTCCTCACTAAGAGCCTGTCGTCATCAGTCTGAATGTGCCTGAAGACCACAGTGTGGTAGCATAATCTGCCCTATTATCTGATCAATTGCAAGGCAGCCTGGCCGCTCTGTGCATTTCCAAGTAAATGCAACCAGCCTGGAATAAAGTCTTTTCTGTTCCTCTTATTTTGAAAGAAGACAAATAAACTCATTCTCATTCCACCTGACCATTTCCACAGCATCCTCTCTGTTCTTTGTTTAACAAAACTTAGCTTCCCACCTCCTCTGCCCTCTCTAACATAGTACAGGGTCGTAAACTAATCAATCACTCTTCTCTTCTGTAAAAAAAGTGGCAAAATTAAAACTTCACTCATAGTATCTGCGAGAGAGCTAACATTCCCTCTGCAAAGATGAAAAAGGGGAGGCTTCATGGCTCATGGCTCACTTGCTTTGCATACAGAAGGTCCTAAACCGAATCCTGCATCTTCAGGTGGGGTGAAAGCTCCTGCCTGAAAGCCTGAAGACATGCTACCAACCAGCATTGACAACGCAGGGTAGGCAGATCCATGAACTGATGCAATACAGAGAACTTTATTAGGGTCTTATACCAACATTTCCAGGTTCATCAGGCACTCATGTACGTGTAATATCCATGTTACAATATAGTTACTAGAATAGGATCTCTATTAGTTATTAGAACAGTTATTTGAATAGGATCTTCCAACCTGTTTCTCAAGCTCTTCCATGCTATCAGTTGACATATCTTCAACATAATTAGATGGAAAATAGTACTGAACTTTGCATCCATAATCTCCTTTCCACCTGATAAATCAAAAGAACAGTAAGTCGTGAGAGTAAAAAAAATCAGCAAAATACAAAGTGCCAATTGCATAAGCATCAAGGAGCTGACCATATGTTCTCAACTAGATTTCAAAACTAATTATTTGAAAAGGCTTTAGACCACTTCTAACCAGCATAACACATAATCACAGTAAGCATACTTACAATGCTAAAATATATATTTTCTATAGAAGTAAAACACTTTCCCCAACCCAAATTGAGCAATATTATGGGAATACAATTTGTAGATGAATCTGAACTGAAGTATGTATTAAGAGGATACTTACATACTTTTATCCTTAAAAATACAACTTCAAGGGAACTGTGGTCAGTGAAATGAAATGAATCGCTGCATTCAAACTACTCAGTGACTGCAATTTTAAAATATGCCAACCCAGTTTTCCAGGAGGTGGACACACCAAAACAAGAGACTGTTTGGCTACTACCAGAAGCAAAAAAGCTCTCTCAGAGAATCAGACAAAGACTGCTTACCGACTAGCACCCTTTCGAATGGATGTCCTGCAGCTACCATTGAGGTGCCTTCAAAACAAAGGCTCACTCTTCAGAAGCCTCTATTTGAAGCATTTTTGAAAGAGATATAATCATACCATCTCACTTTGCCCCTGAAAAAAGTATGGGAGGAAGCACTGACATACACCCTCACCCTAACTCAAAGAAACGCTGCAAAATAGTGCTAAGATAAGTAATGGAACTAACCAGAGAGATATCTAAATCCCGTATTTTTCAATTTACCATCATCCTTGGGTCCAGGAAAATTTTTCAGCCTTCCTGAAGTGTACAAAAAGTGTACAAGACTGAATCCCAAAGCCATATAGTGAAACCTGACTCTTGCAGCTTCATGCTTGATCTGCACCAAAAACTTCAACAAAAATTACAAAAAGTAAGAACTCTCTTCTTACCAGCCACCAGTTTCCTTTGAGACATTATGAATTAAGGCCCCACGGCAAAAAGTCAGCTCATCTTCTCTTTTAGCTTGGTAGTCATACAAGGCTTTAACCGTTCTCTGGGGCTTCAACAGAAAGACATGGAAAGGGCTACAGATCAAAATGATTGCTGAATTCTCAGAAACCATACAACAGGAACAAGGTCCTGAGACAATTTACCTAATGCATTTTATTTAAACTCAGTCGTTTCAATTTACTGCACAGGAAATTAAGATAAAGAATCTCAGTTTGCTTAGCTGTTCTCTCCCAGATCAAGATCAAGTATGAGTGATACTTTGGGAACAACTCACCACAGACGGTGTTATTTCAGTCGGCTCCACATACATCTTTACATCATATAATGAACTAGGGTCTTTCTCCTGAGATTGGAAAAGGAAGGCAAATTAATTCCATATGTGGAAAAAAAACCAGTGAAAGCTTTTGGTTAAATGTGACACTGTCTAAACAAATGTCAAATAAATGAACATTTTGTGGATTTCTTTCTTCCTCCCCACTACTGGATTTCCAAAAAAAAGTGTCAATGGGATTTTGGCAAAATTTTCTGCATTGTTTTTAATCTTTGAACTAAAAATTGGAGCATTCATACTGATTGACAAATTTAGTAATTACTTTAAAAGACTTCAGAACTGTAATTATAACCAACTTTGCCCTCCCCTCCCAGCTGAACAACCATTAGATGGGAAGCATAGAACAGGCAGCAAAGAAACAGCAAACTCTCTGCACTGCCATCTCTGGGAAAAGACAATGTTCAAACCTCTCCTACCCACCCTTAGTGATCCTGCTCCAAATCCCATGAGCTGGAAGGGGAGATTTAAACCTCCCCATTCCTAAGCAGTAAGATGTGCCTGTGTGGGGGCAGCATGTGCGGGTACAGACACATATGGCCATGTGTCAAAACATCATCTGGACCAGTTCACTGGCCCAAGGTGTAATTGTTTAGTTGCTACTCCATTACAGACCTGTAAAATGCACTTTACCGAAATTTTGCAGTTACCTACAACTTTATCTGCTTCGGGGTGTTATAAATGTATGAAGGTATGATCACCTAACCTGTGATTTCAAAGCCAGACAATGGCCCCCACTGCAGCTTACAAGAAGTTCTATTGTCAAGAGCATAATGCTCAACATTCGGTTAAGACTGAATGGGGAACAATGAAAGATGTTTGTGGTCAAGACGTTAGAGGACACATGACCCTCTGCAATGCTTCAGATCTCTTAATCACAGTTATAGAATCCTCCTTGCTTTACCTGCACCACTTCTAGGTGATCTCACCTTCTACCCCATCATCTCTAGCTTAGACAACAGTTTACTTGAGCATTCTATCTTGACCCATATTCTAAAGGCACATGGTACAGTTCCAGTGCTGACAAAAAGCAAATCAAATGTATAGGTTTCCTGGATAGAAGAGTATTCCTGGGAGCCATATTTAATTGATTAATTGTGTTGATTATCAAGATTCCAAAAAGCAGGCAGGCTAAAGCGTCTTTTAGGATACTTTTCCAGGGTAGGAAAAGGTTCTTAATTATACAATGCATTTCAGCAATTGACCTACATCAGCAAGTGCCCCATGCCCTACGCAGGGTTTTGGCGATCCATGCAACTGACTGATGGATGCACCTAGCTCACAGAGCTGAACACTTGCCATGCTGTAGCGGTCCAGCAGCTCCTCGGTCACGGGGTAGCGCAACTTCATTTTCCTGTACAACGGATGTTTCTCATAGTAGTTCACCAGTTCCACTAAACTCTCAAAATAGGCTGATGTGCCCAAGACAAAGAGGCGGCCTTCTTGCTTGATGCGGCAGTGCTTTACTTTCCCTTCAGCTCTGTGGAAGTAAAGAGGAGCGAGCTTGAAAAATGCCAACAAGTTTGCACATGGTAGGCATGTTGTGAGCAGAGCTGGCTAGACCCACGGTCAGACTAGATGGCCAGGGAGACCCCTTCTGACTCGCACTGTTTCTATATTTCTACATTTATCAACCTCTCAGGCTCTGAGGTGCCCTGGCAAGATCTTCCTATTTAGTTAAGTTTTGCAGAACACCATGGTTGTTCAGAGATGCTAAACGGAGTGTTCTTCCTTTACAAAGTCCTGAATCCTTTCCCAGTTTCTTCACTGTTCCTCACTAGCCAGGCTCACAGCCTCCCATACCACCACATGCACCACATTTACACTGCTTTGGTACCTTTCCTCTTGTCCACTCCACTGACTATACTGCTGTTGGTGCTGCAATGGCAGCAGCTGGGAGAGACACAATAATCCTTCCTAATTGGGTGCACAAAAGTCTGAACAAATTTGGATTGACACAGATTAAGTAGAACTATTTCCTAGCTTTCCTTGTGAGATCACTTTGAGAATCCTACTGACAGCCTTTATTCTATCTTGTTTTAAAGTTTGATGCCATAGGCAGTGAGGATGTTAGGAAGTATTTTTATTTAAGACATTTACAGCTACTATTCAAAGAAAATTCAAGATGGGTTATATTCAAATCAGACTTCAACAGTACAAATCTTCACTCTAAGTTTGTATATATTGCCTTAGTTTAATTAAAAATGCACTGTAGTCACTTATTTTTTCAAACACAAAAAGCACTGTGACACCTTAAACAGTAAGATTTAGTTATGTCTCTAATCTGTAAAAGTTTCCATTCACAATAGGCCTGCTTTGCTTGTATTCAGATATACCATATAGCCATGGTGCCTAGGATGGTTTCCCTGCTTCTTTCTTTCTCTTACAAGCGAATCCAGGTTTCCTGTGACATGTGAGCTCCGGGAACTGTAGCTTGCTAAAGTCAAGAGCAGGCAATTATCAGCAGGCTGCTTGACAGTAGGTGGGCAATCCAGTGAAAGCTGACAACCATAAACATGGCTCTTTGAAGAAAACTTTGCCTGAGCCAAGGCAAGACGACAACAACAACACAGCAAATGTGCCCAATAAACTCTCATAAGCAAGATCAGGCACAGTATATTAAACTTATGTCAATGCTAATATATTAAGGTATATATTTGCCAGCCCCAAAGTGATCTCTGAGAGTTTGATAACACAAATGTCCAGTGTAAGAACCGGAAGTTTCTAAAAATGCATAGATAACATAATCTTTAAAGAACTGCAGGCTTGGGACCTTCTCTAAGTGGTGGACATGGTGGGCATGTCGTGAGCGGAGCCGGCTGGAGCCAGGGGTCAGACTAGATGGCCCAGGAGACCCCTTCTGACTCGCTCTGTTTCTATGTTTCTAAGTGCTTATCCAAAATCACATTTCACAACTGAAACAGTTCTGGAAATGAATTGTCCAAACCCCATGGTTTCAGCCTACAAGGAATCTTCCACAGACTATGTTTTTGTCATGACTGGTATGATGCTCCTTGTTCTTTTACAACTTTTTAAAACTCTCACTTGACAAGTAGGAAAGGGAGGGAAGCAGTGCAGCTGTAAAGGCAGCACATTCCCATTTCATTTCCTAGCATCAGGTTCCAGGAGGACTGAATGAGGGTATCTAACAGCAGGGCCTTGGAGCCTCTGAGCACGGTCAGGCAGAGGGAGCTATTAGCCTGACTTTTTGGTCTTCTACAGCACAGAACAGATAATGGTCAGGGAAAGGGACTGATGGGGGTGCAGCTCATCAGACCAGCCTGACCAGGTGATCTGGCCTTGCATACCTGTTGCTTCAGGCTTTGATCCTCTCCATGGGGAGAGACCCCCAGCTGCCTCATACCACTTTCCCTGGACTCCTGCTTCTTGAAACTTTGCCATCTGATGGGCCTTGACCATTTACCGACTCCCAGCTCCTCTGATCTTCCAGAACTTTTGCCTGATGTGAACTGTGTACTCACCTCTGGTTTGCCTGGTCTGGCCCTGCAGGGTCCCAACACCTAGAAATTATCAGGTCGCCCTGTGTGCTGAGTCATGCTAGGGCAATAAAAGGTTGCCTCTCACCTAAAAGTCATGGCATAGGAATCAGGTTCCTCTCTCTTTCTTATCAAAAAGGCTCCATCCCTGGGAATTCGCATCAGCATATCTTCTGCTTCTCCTCGGCTCAGGTTACTGTAGTACCACCTACAAAAAAACAAAGAGAAGTGGACACAGAACTTGATCTGATCCCACTAAGTGAAGCAGTGGTGATAATATTGCATTTTCAGACATTAGTTGCTAAATCCTGCATTTACTTTCACCGTCACCCAAAATAAATGAGTTAATTCTAAATGTTGACTGGATTAGCATTTCTCACTCTCACATGGCATAAATCCAACAACAATAATGTTGTTATTGTTATAATAAACCAGATGCTAAATAAAAGTGAGATGGTTGGTAGAAAAGCACATATGCGATTGGAAGGACAGGGACATCCTCATGACTAACACTGCCATACACAGTGGGAACATATTGCTAAGGTGGGGGGGGGGGGTAGAGAGAATCCCAAACCACACCACCCTACACCCCGATTTTAAGAGGGCAATTTACAGTTGGTTCCTTCTAGGACTGCTACTGACTAGATAGCCAAATCAGATATGAGAATGGCAGAGCCAGGTCTATGCCAATTACATATAAAGTCAATTCGATTTTTAAAGCAAAGAGGGGCTTGGGTGGGGAAGCTCCCTGTGACATGCACTGCCCCAGTCCACTGTCTCACAGCAGACTGCCTAGAGATAAACTGTGAGGGAGTGTGGGTTCAGAAAATCCATGCTTCAACATTTGGGGTTTTTTTACCTTACTGTAACCACACACAATTTTAACCTGGATAGGAAACTCCTTATGTGGGTTAAGCTTCCCTATCCAGATGCTTCTTTTCCTACATTTGCCTACCCATCACACAGGAAGGAGAAACAGAAAAGCTTCCATGGGTTTTCCTTTCTTTTGCTAACTCCTACACTAGGGCAAGGACTTTTTTTGTGTGGGGAGGGAGGCAATGGGTATCCACACACAGAGGACTCAATCAAGATCATGGCCTCATGTACTTAGATGTTTTTTTAAAGTTAGGCTTAGCTAAATGTCACACACTTAACACAGTATGCCATTTAGCCCTCGGTTTTATTTTATACATGATACAAGCAAGCTTGGAATTAGATTAATACCACTTTTGGAGTCCAGTTTGGCCTTGAAAAATATGAGGAACAGTGAATTACATGCCAGTCTTGTCTGCCCCTCTCCGCTATGCCCTGAGCAGCCATCACTGTTAGAGTCTCCTCCAGCTATGAAAAATTAATTGAACTGCTGCAGAAAGGAGAAAATCTGCTCTCTCAACCCCTCGAACAAGAGGAAGATAGGAGAGGCGTAATCTTATCTTGCTCTGGAGGAGCATCCAGATGGATGGATGGATGGAAGGTTAGCCCTCATATCTGAAGATTTAACTCAGTTACTTTAGCATAGCCTAACATCTAAGTACATGAAGAAGGAAACAAACGTTAAGAACTTGAGCAAAGAAAGAACTCGCCTGCAATGTAATTTTTACTTTTTATTGTACAACAAAAACCTACAGAAAAATGAGCAGGCTTTCCTATGGTAAAAGAAAAATCTCTTGTGCTACTTGAATGGCAGCCTCCAATTACTATTCCAAGCTGCAGCAAGCAATTTCAAAAACCCACCAAGGTGTACTTTAAAGCCAGTGAAAGCAGCAAAGGGATGCAGAGTAAGAGCATCCCATCCCCTTTCTACCTTGAACTGCTCTTTGAAAACTCTTGGTTTTCCAACAGGGTGAAAACAATACCTTTCTAGACTTCTAAAGCCAAAATGCATGCTCAATACATAATTGCTGAAATTATGGTTGGTCAGGCTAGGTTTGTTGTTGTTCTTTTAGAACAAGTGCCCCATAATTCACAGTAGTTGTGACAAAAAGAAAACTTCAGTATTAAAATAGCATTTTACTCCACCCTAGAATTTCCTTTTGGCTGAACATACTTCTCTGATTCATGAGGCTTGGGGTTAGGCACAGGATCAGTCAACCGCAGTTCAAACTCTGCACAGCGCAAGTGTGCTTCTTTATAATGCTGGACTAGATCGCAGATGCTATCAAAGGTGAGGTTGTCTGTCAAGTAATACTTTACAGTATCTCCATCCGTTGAAGAACGGATACGGCAGTGCTGGACTCTACCAGATCTCCTAAAAACATGGAAAATAATGCACCAGTTATTTTTCTAAAACCACATTCATATACTTTTCCATTTTTTCTTGGTTATTCAGCCTGTGAATTGCAGAGGTGGGAAGGATGACTTTAAAAAACTCAGGCTGCCCACATTTGTAGGACTAGATCAAGAATTTACAGCATACTGACACGTATGTAAAAGTGTGACAGAATTTTCATTATTATAGCCAAGGATTTTGGCTGCAATCCACACAGGGTTTAAGACAGAAAACACCAGTCAAAATAAGTCATGGTATAAAGTTCACTTGCTTTTATAGGTTTTGGCAAGTCACTAAAGTCATATGAAAATACAACTCTAACAGATGCATGGTTAATACTGCATTTTTAGTATTCATGTTAATGCCACACTTAAGTTTGAATCCAACATTTGAAGTGGATTTGCAAACCCTGGTTATGAGGCCAGTAGATTAGTTTCGAAACAGACTTAATGCTACACACCAGTTAGGCAAAGTCAAAATGAGCAAGGGCAGATTCACATGACAGAGGGGAAAGAGGAGGAATGCTGGAGCTCATGGTGCACTCTCACCATGGTTAGGAGAAAAAATTGTGATACAAATTAGCATTGTGGTCTTTTAATTTACTTTAGCCACAAACCATTGTAACACTGCACATGAAACACAATGAAAGAGATTAGATTAGCAGGTTAAAATGTAAAAAAATATTTATACTAGCCACAATGTATATCAAATATGAAAAACTATTAAGTAAATAATACTGGTGGATTAAAAACAAAATAAAAACATCAAGATTCAAGGCAACAAAACCAACCTTATTTTAAAAGCACCTGCCAAACTTTTGCAGACTTTATTTTCACCTGTTTAGATCAAGTATGCAAAATGTAAACTGATCTTTTTAAAGCCAGAATCCTTACAAAAAACAGCCTATGCTTAACAACAAATTTGGTTTTGCTAAATTCATAACTAAGTCGCAACATCTAAGTGATGGCATTTTTTTTTCACTTGTAAAAGAGTGTGCTTAGACAGATGGGGGTAGGGATTAAAACATTGTTTGGGTGTGCACTATAAATGATATTAAACCAGATGGAGTCACATTCAATTTGGTCTCACTGCGACCATGTGGGAATTGCTTGACTGTTACTTTCATTTTTAACATTATTAGTAATTATATTACTACACTGTATTATAATCCTGCCTTTTTCCTTCGCGTGCGGCATCCAAGGCAGCTTTGGTAAGGCATGTGTGAAGTTGCAGAACCTTCTTCTGTCTAAATATGGGTAAGACTACTCCCTCATTCATTTATTTCTGAACGTAAACTCCTTCAATGCCTTAAATGGTTTCCTTTCTAAGAACACAACCCGCACAATTACAAAAATGCAACTAAAGGCTTTTGTGTCGTTGAGGATATTGAACGCTCTGTTACCAGAATGAAAGTGTGTAGTCCTTAGGGAAAGCTTCACTCTCTCTCACTAGGAATGTTCCATCCTTGCCACCCATTTCAGCGCAATACTCCTGGAGCAACCTCTCAGCGGTGTTTCTCCCTTCTTTCATTTTTCCATGGAACCATTTCTCACCACAGTGCAGCTCTGTGCGTTGCATTTCCTGGAATATCGAAAGGAATGATGCCACATTTTTCCATCAGCCATTCCTCTAAGAAGCCAGTACTGAGCTGGGCCTTCACAGTGTTTGTGGGAGACCATCACGTGTCTTTCTGAAGGAGGCGTACCCCAGTTGTCTGGGGAAGAGGAAAGGGCATGGCCAAGAGAAACAGACCAAACCTGCTGGGCACCACGTATCGCTGCTGATCGTGTGTCTTAAAATGGATGCAGCAGTCACTTTAAGGGAGGCAATACACACTACAGCACAACACAAAACTTGTAGCCAGCGAAGGGTAGTGGTTAAGAGGCTGAGTTGTAAACCAGGAAGTTCCTTGTCCAAATCTCACATCAGCCTGCACTCACTAGGCAGTCGGAGCCAACTGAACTCCTTTAACATGGATTTTTTTTGTGTAAACGATCATAAGCCCTCCCGCTCCTTGAGATCAGCAACAGATGCCCTCCTCCGGGAATCCTCTGTGAATGATATTAGGAGGGTGAGTACCCGGAGGAGGGCCTTCTCTGCGGTGGCGCCCCATCTATGGAATGCGCTCCCCAGAGAGGTCCACCTGGCGCCGTCGTTATTTGTTTTTCGGCACCAAGCTAAGACCTTTTTATTTAAAACTTATTTTAATTGCTAAATTATTTGTATTTATAGGATTTTAAATTTTTAGCCGAGATGCACCGGGGGTTTTTAAATAATTTTTTATTGTTATATTGTTATTTATGTATTTTGTTTCTGTTGTGAGCTGCCCCAAGGCTTTGTTGTGATGGGGGCAGCATAAAAATGTTTTAAATAAATAAACAAGATTTTTAATGAATGATGGTAAATAATTTTTTAAAATAAATTAAATGCATCAATTCCAATTAAATACCAACACACTGAACTCTAGGTTAATAATATCCTAATGCTTGATCGTGATCAAATGAAGCATTTTTCTATGTAAAATAAGAACCAGGGAAAAGGTTATCTCTTTACAGATTCTTGGTTTAAGTGTAAGTGTCACCAGACATCCTCTACTGTTTTTTATAATTTCAGACTTCATACCTGCAGGTGGACAACTTCAGGAACTTCCAGCTCCCTCTACAGGCTGCACTTCCACCCCAACACTTCCCCAAAAAAGAAGAAAGGTTTTGTCCAAATTTGTGGTTTATCATGAGAGAGGCTTAGAATAGATGAATTGATCTTTCAAGCAAGCTAAATTTGTCCATTCTAAACCTCCACAGAGATATGCCACCAAATTCCAGCAGTGACCAGTGACTTATTCCTAGTAGGGAAAAATCCGAATGAAAGAAGGTACCATGGGTTGCAATTCCTCTGCTAGAACCAAGGATTGCAAGTAATCTCCAAGATCCTTGTGCACGTGATTTCATCTTGTATGTTACCAGAGGCATCAACTGTTGGATTTTACTGATTAAAAACCAGACTTTTCCTCACAGGCTTTACTAGAGGAAGCACAAAAAGGTCCCTTTAAACACCATAAAACCATACTGTTACTAAAGTTCTACTACCTTGGATGACTCTTCATCAGCATTCTGCTCTATATCATCACTGAATGAAAGTTTTTCATTGGCTACAGCACAGTAATGACGAGTCCATCTCTAGAATGCAAAGGAATAATTACAATATAACAAAAGCAACTGGAAGTTTATACTATGAACAGAATAGAAAAAAAGACGATTACATTCACATAGTATCTCTTTCCTCTGAAGAACAAGTTCTTTAGGATTAATTTCAACTATTTAGGCATCATTGTATGAAACAGTGGAAGAGAAACAATCTTTACCTGATCTATGGTGTCCCACATGTAGAGTTCTCCTTGTTGCTTTTTCTCCTCTTTCTTTTCTTCTGTGTTCACATCTACATCACCTTTGGGGCCCAACTTTTTATGCTAGTATAAAATGAATAAAGCAGTTCTGAAAAATGGAACATTTCAGGTAATTTCTCCAGTGTCTCTTTGTTGAACCTCTGTCTGCCTTGACAGGATAAAAGCATGCCCTGTATGACGGTTACAGCAGACACTGGGTGAAATCTTGTGCACCATGTCCCATCCAACAACTGGCTCCCCTTGTTCTCTCACTTCATTTACCTCTGAAAATAAACAACTTCTGATCTGAAATTGTGACACCACAGGGCAAAGCTGTAAAGTTCAGTGGAACAGTGAAGGACAGCCCAAACTGGGGAACCTCTGGTGCCTAAGGAGGCTCTCCACGGAAAACAGAACATGCTTAGTCTTCTGGCCTTCGACGGAGGGTGAGAGATACCAAAATGGAGTGGAGCAGGGCTGGAGCACTCTTCTACTTATGCTGTCATACACAATGCCCAAATGCAGAGTGACACAGTGCATTTCTATTCAGGTCTTCATCCTTGTGTTCAGTGGGGCTTATTCCTAGATAGGTGTGCATAGGACTACAGTTCTAAACAGTGCGTGCTTTGAACTTTATCTGCTTTCCTCTTTTGTTTCATCATATAATTGCGTATGCTCAGGTTGAAAACAATTTGAGAAGATTTAACATGAAAGTTGCACTACAAATGCAATAAAAATACAGAACAAAGATGCTGTGTGCTTTGATGTGTAGGCATCATCTAAAAGCAAGTGAACTAATCTCCTTCAACAGTATTTTAACCTGCACATAATTCTGACCACCTGAAATGATCTGGGATAATTCAGAAAAGGGAGGCTTTTTGAAAAGCCTCCAAGTTGCCAGACACCATACCCCAAGAAATACTAGCCAGAAAGATAGGGATAGCAGGAAAATATGTAACATAGTAATCATGCCAAAGATGAAGGAAACTTTAAGACCTGTTTCACACCCCACCCCCACAAAGACCACACTTATCCCTTTCTGCTTTGTCTTGGAAACCTCACCACCTTAATATCATTAAGTATCTGCTCCAAAATATCCACCCATCATATGACTGAAAAAGTTTGACAACAGAGTTTTATGCCACTCAGAATTGGAATTTTGTAAAATATACCAACCCCAGCTATTTTGTAAAACAAATACCCTACCTTTTTATTTTCCCAATGTTTTAAGATCTGATTGTTTTAATTGTGGTTTTATCGTCAGTTGAATTTTTAGGATGCTGTGTTTTATTTTATATTTTGTATTGTTAAACCGTCCCAAGACTTCGGTAAGGGATGTTCTAGAAAAGTTTTAAATAATAAAATAGAATCATAGAGCTGGAAGATGCCAATAAGATGCCAAGTCTAGCCCCCTGCTCAGCGCAGGACCTTTTTAAGTTTGCTTGCCTCTTCCTTAAACTGGGGTGCCCAGAACTAGATGCAGTATTCAAGATTATGCATAAGCAGTGTTAAATGGGAAGGAACTAGTATCTTGTGTGGTTTGTAGTGATATTTCTGTTAATGCAGCTCAAAATAGCATTTGCTAAATTGCTAAATCACTGATGAAAATTCAGCTTGTGATCCACAACAATTCCAAGATCCTTCTCACTTGCTGAACCAAGTTTCACACATCTTGTAATTATGCATTTGATTTGTTTTTCCTAGAGGGAGAACTTGGCAGTCGTCCCTCTTAAATTTCATTCTGTTTTCAATCCAGAGTCCCAACTTCTCAAGATCACTTTGAATTTTGTTTCTCCCTTCTAGGGTATTACTTACCAAAGCCAATTTTGTGTCATCTGCCACTGTGGTAAACATTGCCTACACTTCCTCATCCAAATCATTAATTAAAATGTTGACGTACACCGGGCTTTGGACTAAAGTCTGTAGCACCCCACTTGTTCCCTTTCCCCAGTTAGAGAAGGTGCCATTGACAGCATTAGAGTCCAATTCTGTAGCCAACAATGGGCCCACTTGATAGTTGTTCCATCTGGCCCATTTTTAGCTAATCTGCTAATCAGGGTATCATGGGACACTTTGCTGAAGTGAAGGTATATTATGTCTACAGTATTCTTACAGTCCATGAGGGGAGTTACCCAATCAGAAAAATATTCATCTGGCTGCATACCATATTCCATAGGAGCTACACAACTGCATTCCTTGCTGCTTTACCCAGTTACTTCATGAAGAATTTTCTCCCTTAATACAGTTCCCAAATTTTAAGAATGAGTGGAGATGCTCTCTTGATGGTGCCAAATTTGCCAGAATTCAATATAGAGCAATCTGAAGGAGGGCTCTGATACAGATTTCCAGACTATGAAATGTGTTTCCACTCAATATACAGCGGTACCTCGGATCACGAACTTAATCCGTTCCAGGACTCTGATCATAACCCAAAATGGTTGTGAGCCAAGTTAAATTTCCCCATAAGGTTCAATGTAAATGAGGTTAATCCGTTCTGTAACCATTTTTTAAATCAGAAAAATGTGAAGTAAAGTGACAACAACAAAGACCGCGGCCATCCCCCCTCCTGCCCCAAGCACAAGCGTGGCCATCTCCCTGCCCCCCCCCCAGCACGACCGAGATCGCACCTGTCATCCCTGCAGGCGCCCGTCATCCCGGCACACTAGGGGGTGGGGGGGGGAGACAGGTATGATTGCGGGCACACTGGGGGAGGGAGAGATGGGCGCAAACGGTGCGCTGGGGGTGGGGAGATGGCTGCAATCGCAGTTCCGTTCATGCAGGGAAAGACAAGCGGAATCTCGGACATCTCCCCTGAGGCTCTGCTTTGCCGCTCCCATCTTTCCTGCAGCAGTGCACCTCTGATCAGGCACCCCTTCCCTGCACGAAAGCAACTGGTATCGTCGCCTTCTCCCCACTTGGGGGAAGAGGGGAGATGGCTGTGATCTTGGTAGCCACCCAAAGTGGTGTTCGTGACCCAAGTCAAAATTTTTCAGAAATGTGTTCGTGACCCGATTTGTTCGTGAACCAAGGCGTTCGTGAGCCGAGGTACCACTGTATAGGCAGCACCAACTCTGACATTCTAAAGACTTATTTGTTTGCCCGGGTTGTGACTGAATTTCTCCTTTTTTCTCATGCTAGTATCATGTAATCTTTTACTTGTTATTGTTCTCCCTGTTTATGTTCTTCTAAAAAAGAAAATCAACAGTGTATTACTTTACTGTGTTCCACTGCTTGTATCCCAGTTTGGGGTTAATTTATAATGAAAAGAAGGTAAAAAATATTTAAATAAATTTAGATAGATACTGCCTTTCCATTGACAGAACAAGACACAAAAAGGTGTGGTCCTTTGCACAGAGGGTGTTTCAGGCAATCTGTTTTCCCCTCTGTCAACCACATCTCAGGAAACCAGTGTAAATAGCATTAGCAGCAGTAACAGAAAGGTAGCCTCATGAATAGTTGTTGAATCTGGCATGGAAAACACTGCCCCCTGCTTGCCTCAGTTCTTTGCCTGTCATAGCTATTCAACAATTAAAAACGTCTGAGAAACTTTGTTTCAAAATACTGCTGGTGGACAATCACCAGTTTTTAAAACCACCTTGGCTAGATGGTGACCTATTCCTGATCACAATTCAAAGGTGTGCACCTTTATTATGTAGGTGTATAGCTTGTGCCCCTACAGATGTTTTGGCTTGCCATTCCTGTTATCCCTCACCACAGGCTATGATCATTAGGATTCATGGGAGTTTCAGTCCTCCAGATGTTTGGGCCGGTATCTTGCCCGCTGCTGTCTAAAGCTCTATTCATCTTAGGTTGTGACTGTATCTGAAGGGCCACCTGGTCACACATGAACACACTCACAGATATTCCTCCAGGATCTGGGGCCCTTTACCTTTAAAGTTAGGCAGGTGAAGACCAGAGAAAAGGTTCTTCCCCAAGACAGCCTGTTACTGATCCAGGGCTTTTCAAATACTGTTTAAATGGGGCAGCAGCTAGAGTTGTGACTACATCAAAATGGAAAGCAGAAGACTGCCCAATTAAAGAAAGCTAGAAAAATAAGCTAGCTGAATATGCAGTAATGACAAAACTAGCTAGTTATATAAATAAAAGACTGGCTGAAGAATTCAATGATAAATTATTTTATTAATAACAAAATAGAGCATGTATGACTATCAGTTATAATTTTAATACAATTGCTATGCTGTTTAAAATTAATTTAAAAGGAATGGAAAGTAAGTTAGCATTAAGAATTATAAATTAGAATAATTGTTCTATGAGTTTCAATTAAGTACTAATTAATTTAACTGAGTCTAGAAGAGATAGCAACTACTGATTTTTGGTGAAAATTTTTGATCTTGATATTAATTGTAATATTTGTGTAAGATACAAATACATACTTTTACTATATCCTACCTTTTTATGAAAATAATTAAATACTGTTTAAATTGTTTTATCTTTGCTCATATATCTTTATTGGACTGACGTTATCATCGTTAACATTGTTTTAAGGTGCATTCCTAGGCAAGTTTAGGCTGCAGATGGGGCTAAGGTATGGTGATACTTGTAGGTTTTGTTTTTGTCAGAACTTGCCTACAATTGTAAGACTTATCTTCAGCCCACCCTGGACAGTACTGATGGAAGGGATATAAAATTATTTATTTATTTATTTAAAAATTTATATGCCATCCTATTTGCAAAAAAGCCTCAGGACGGCTTACAATATAAAATATAACATAAATAAATTCCCGACCCACACTGGCTGCAGTTAAAAACATATGATGCCTAACAAAGCTTCACAAAATGTATTTCTGGATCAAGACCTCTCCCCTAAAACATTACAGGAAATGGTGCGTTTGCTGTGGCCAATTTCGGGCTGCTGTGGTCCCCCAGGATGGAAGGTCCTTGAAATACAGGCACTCTAGCTGGGTATCTGTACAATGTGCAAAAAGTGCTTAATGAACAGCTCCTGTGTTTATGCAGACAAAGCAACTCAAGCTTCAATGTAGACATTCAAAAGGCAAGCTTCCTTTGCAGCTCTGCTCTTCCTGGATTTGTTAAAGAGTAATACATGTCTGCCAACATTAGCCCTGTCTTGCAAAGTGAGCCAAGCCAAGAGGAAGTCCATGGATGCTCCTGGAGCACCAAGTGGGCAACCAGCAACCTTCCACATCAGAAGCGGCTGCAGGAAGCAGGAAAGGAGAGTTGTGAGCTGGCCCACCAGCCTCCTTTCCCAGCAACCAACCTTCTTCCTCAGTCACTGCTGCCGGCGGTGGTGCTGGCAGCACGTAGGGGAAAGGGATGCTGTGGACTGGCGTGCCAGCTGCCATTCGCAGCAGCCAAACCTCCCCACACTTGCTGCTGCCAGTCGTAGTGGCATGTGGAGGAAAGGGGCCTGGGAGCAGGAGTGCCAACCCCCATCCCTGAGAACCAGTCCTCTTCTCTGTTCACTGCTGCCAGCGGCAGCAGGCACAGGAAAGGGGCACCGCGTGTACAGTGTGTGGGGCTCTATTTGCGGGCAAGGCCCCACAAACACTAGGTGCACTTGCCATGAATTCGGTCTCGGGGCCAGTGCAAGTGGACTGGAGTTCAGAGAGCTGAGCCCAACACATTTCCACCCCCAAACATGTTCTTCACACATTCCTAATTAGGTGTTCATGCAAAAGGGAACTCCGCCTTCTAAGAAGTGTCCTGGCTGAAAAGCTACCTTCTGTCTTCATCAAGTTTAAGGCTACAGGAATCAAGGCAAACTGTGAAATATTACCACTCTACAGGACACTTCCTCAACTCTGGATGGTGACTCCTGGCAGACTGCAGGAGTGCAGTTACGGATCCTAGCCAAAAGTGCAAGAACCTGCTATCAGAACTACCCCAATAAGACAAGAGACACCAGAATTCCCAATACCAATAGTTTGGTGATTTTCTTCACCAAACTAAACTTGCCTTGATGATGAACTTTTCTTTCAGCTGAGTTGGTGATGGCAGCTGATCAGCACTAGCTTCGATGGGCTTCATTAGAAGCTGATCCCCAAAGACCTCTCTGAACACTTTGGCAATATATCGCTGCTGCTCCACACTGCAGTGCTCCTCAATTGACAAAATCACGGGGTACCTGCAGAAAAGAAAGCACAGATGGTGACAAGAGCAAGGCTGAAACAGGCAAGAGGTCCATCTACTCCAGCACCCTTCTTCCCAGAGTGACCAGTCTAGTGCCTCTGGGAAGCTCACACAGAGAAAAGGAAGCGGCGGACTATCATGATGCCACCTGTCCCCCCTGAAAGCAGGCACACTGCCTCTGACCATGGAGGCTCCATATATCCTCGCGATTAAAAGACAAATTAAGCCATAATGACAAACTATGGTACATTTAGAAGAATGAGCCATATCAAAGCCTGGGGTCATAGTTTAAGATTAACTCCCAAAATTATAATAGAGTTCAGATAACCAGGCAAGCTGCAGTTAATCTAAAACAGAGGCTAAAGCCCCCAGTCCAGGGAGGGATGCATGTGAACCTGGGGTAAGTTCATTTTCACAATATTAACCTACAAAACAGCCCTATGACAGAACCGTCTTTCACAAATTTGTCTCACTCTTCTTTACAGCTTCCTAAGACAGAAGCTAGCAGCACACCCTCTGACAATGTATTCTATAAAGTAGTTGCATATTGTAGGAAGAAGGTCTTTGTTTTGTTTGTCCTGAATCTACTCCATGGGTGTCAAAGAGTTCTAATTACAGAATTGAAAAGGAAGGTTTAAGGCCCTCCAGTCAGTCCATCCCCTTCCTCAGTGCAGAAGTGCTGTGCGACAAGTAGGAGGAGTACATTGTCCAGCTTCTGCTTAAGTACCTACAGCTACCTGCCTAGATTACCAGTTTTGCTGTCGTCTTAATGTTCAAGAAATATGTCTCCCGGTAACTTAAGCCTGTAATTTTGTATCTTACAGTCTTGGATGATAAGAACAGTTTGTCTATTCCTTTTGTGTGGCAACCCTTTAGGTACTTGAAAAGTGCTACATATCCCCTTTTAGTCTTCACTTCTCAGGACTAAACACATGCAGTTCCTTCAGTCTTTCCTCATAGGACTTAATTTCTAGTCCCCAGTTTATAATGACATGAAAGACAACCTGCCAGCAAGCATTATTGTAAACACCTCTCTTCTTTGAAAAGACAGAAATACTTTAGCCTTTCTGTTAAGGAAAGGGGAGATCTAGGAGGTGTGTATCTGGGAACTGGTCAGTTTAAGATGAAAAATATCACGGGTCCTCAAACTACGGCCCTTGGGACGGATCTGGCCCGCCATGGCCTTCCACCCGGCCAGCGCCGCCGTTCCCCGTGCACGGGCGGGGAGGTGGTGGCTGTCTCTGAGCGAGTGAGCCGCTGCTTGGAGATGATCTCCGAGTGAGTGAGCAAGTCGCCGCCTGCCTCCCGTACACGCATGCTCGCTGCTGCCTCGCAGCACGCGCAGGGGTGGTGGTGGCTCGCTCGCTCGCTCGGAGAGGGTTTTGGACTTGCTGGGAAATGTCTGAGCAAGCGAGCCGCCGCTGCACATGCCAGACGGCACCTCACCGGCCCGCTCCCCCAGGCACCCCCACCTCACCGGCCCGCGACAGTCACCACAGTCTTTCAACTGGCCCTCTATTCAAAACTCCATTTTCAAAGCCATGAACCTTTTCATCAGCTGCTGACCCAATATTACATCCAGTACATGAGGCACTTTTAGCAAATCAGCACTCACACCAGGACAGCCTTTGGCTCATATTGAATTCAGCACCAGGATTTGTGGGGAAAATCAATACCGCCTAACCTGGAATAATAAATAATATAATTCCTTAGCCCCTTGACATGTCTGGAGGTTTTAAAAACAAAGAAGGGAATATGGTTAAGGAAGATGACATCTCTGTCTTTAGAGCAGTAAATCAAGCACAAAATTGTTCTTTCGTCTTACAAAAACCATTTTCCTTTTAAAAAAGAATGAATACGTACTCAGATGTAACAAACGCATGTTCCTTGATTGCCTGCACAACATCATCAAATTTAATTTTTGTTGTCCGTGTCCATCCATGATAAATGATGGGCTTCCCATCAGGACCATCCCAGCAATCCACTGGCATATGTAATAAAGAAAACAGAGAATGCAATATTCAAGTATTGATAGTCTGTTTCCAGCACTTCAGGGTGTTTGATTCGAATTACATGAGTGGCAAAAATGAAGTATTACAAGCAGACACACTTATGGACCAGGAAGTTTAGAAGGAAATACAGTTCTTCAGACATTAAGGAAGCAGATGTTACATATCTTTAAAGAGAAATTATGATTGATTCTCACCTATTTCTGTGTACTAGAAAGACATCTTGATAGTGAGTATGCATACAGATGTGGCGTTTTTATTCCTTTTATTTGAAAAGGGAAAGGAGGGCTCTCCTATTTGAATAAGAAAGCTTGGTAGTTCCAGAAATGGAATACCAGTTGCTGTAGTTGTCTCCTTGATTATTTGGTTTATTTTTTACAGTTGTACTTGAACCCTTGTTTCTGCATAGTTCCTAACTGGCCAGACCCTTTCCTGGTATATTAGATGATAATACAAGGACTTGTAAACATTCTCAGCTACACGTGGTTACTATAAATACAAGCAGCCCTCAAGTTACAAATGTCTCAGTTATAAGCAATGCATACTTATGAACAAACTGCCATAAAACCTATTAATTAAAAAAATATATACTGCAGAAAATCATCATCACCACCATAGGGAGATAGGAAGCGAAAGGGGAGAAAAGGAAGGCCTCCAAAGCATCACCACAGAGAGAGAAAAAGCAAAAGGGTAGAGAGGGAGGCCTCCAAGGCATGCCTTCCTGCCCTGTCCATCCAGAGAGGGAAATCTCTCTGGCACTGCCTTATTGCAAGGAAGGCACTGGTAAGTTTGGGTGGGAGGATGGGGAGAAATATTCCTTCTTGTCTCCTAACCCACACAAATTGGAGGGCTGACTACACATGATTCAACATACATGCAAATTTGACTTCAAGACAAATTTACGTTTTCTCAGGAACAGAACTCATTCATAACCCAGGGACTGCCTGTACTTAAGTCCCTAGTTAGTTGAGGTTACCAGGAAAAATGAGAAGATATACCAAATAAGAACAGAATGATTCTAGAATTTTCTTTCAATAGGACCACTGTCACCTAATAGGTATACTTCAAATTCTCACCATCTGGACTTCACTGTGCATTCAAAAGGGGTACTCACACTCAATGCAACGGCATCCCATTCGAAGGCATCTAATATAAGCTTCTGCAGAAGATTCACTACGAAGCTGGTCTCCTGTGAGGTATCTAGGCCACAAAACAAACAAAGATATAATACAGTTTTCCACATCATCAAGGATGACAATCAAGCCTTTTTTCATTTTGTTTTTTAACCAACTTACGTATTATGTGAAGAAGAAATCCAGTAATGGGACAAAGGGTTATTCATGTCCTGAGGGTCAACTGAATCATATTTGTCATCCCAGATACTGTTTTCTTTTGAAAAAAGGTAAGTAAGGAACTGACACATACAAAAAGAAGAGAAAGAAAAAAATGTAAATCCAATTTAATCATGAGGAAACCTGTTCTTCTCAACAAGAATCATAACAGAACGAGGGATAGAAAATCAACTAAACTATCAGTCTCCCACTACTGGCAACCTCAACATTTTCCTTTTTTGTTCAGGGATTTGCTGCTGTTCTCATTTTCACAGAAAAGGGAAGAGAGGTTTTCTTAATCTCTGCATGACACACTACAGCTACCAACATTACCTCTACTGTGTAACTTTCATATGTCCTTCCTTTCATCTAACCACCTTTTACTTGTGCAGGCTAATTAGAAGTTCTGATTTTATCTTACTGGTACGGGTTCTGTACTCTGCAATGCTCTGTTGGCTTTATTGCTTTAATGAGATGACTGTTGCTTTAAATTGTTAAACCAGAATGGTCAGCCACTCCAAAAACTCTTTAAGAGTGGAAGAGTTAAATTATAGATTGCAAAATTTCTATCAAACTTGGGACTTTTTTTATTATTGGCTAGAGAAATGGGACTTTGCATAGATTTAAATATGTTTCCAAGTTATCATAAATGGGAAAAAAAAATGTAGAGGCTGACCCAGCAGGCCTGATGTTTTTGATGATTGATGTTGTTTTTAGTTTCTTTGTTTTTAGGATTATAATTTTGAATAAAACTTATCATAAAAAATATTATAGATTGCAAAGAGATGAGGCAAAAGCCGTAACTTCTTGCTGTTGTCATTACGCATCATCAAGTCATCTCTAATTTACAGCAACCCTATGAACAAAAGCCCCCAAAAATGTCCTATCCGTGACAGTCCTGCTCAGCTCTTGTCAACCCAGGGTTGTGGATTCTTGACGTAGTCACAACTTACATCGGGGGGGGGGGGCGCGGGGATAAGCCTATTAAGGGCTGCACATCATAAAAGATAGTACTTCAGGATTATGGAGTCTCCAAATACAAGCTGCAGAGCAACAACAGTGGGAAAGAGCTGCTGCCTTTGTGAACTACTCGTGGGTTTTCCAAACAGATTTGGTTTGCCACTGACAAAAACAGGATACTAGACTAATCAGCCCTCGGTACTCGTCTTATGAAAGAAATGTTGCAAAAAATACAGTATAAGAAAGCAACATTATTTTACCTCATCAACATAGAGAAATGGTTCATCAGTTTCTCTCATAGTGTCATCAATAAATTTAGACATCCATTCTCTTACTTTATTAAGATCCTGTGCCCAAGATTCCTGAAATGCCAAAAATGTACAGCTGTACTTCAAGCTCACAAATATTCATCTCCATAGTTGATATAATTGAAAATATTTTACAAAAACAAGTTTACTTTCCACTAGAGTTAGCGGTATAGTCCCATAATTATTCTAGTGATTCAACCAATGAATTCATTTAAAATACATAGACAAAACAGGTACATCCACATATTTAGAGTAGTTTAGAAAATGTTTACATCAACTGGTTATCCGAATTAATGGCAATCTGCTTTTCCATTTATACCCAATTTGCTTATACATGGCAAGCAACTGGCTGCAGTAAAATATCTTTCAAAGCACCTTTGACCCTGGGCATGTCAACACTGCCCTCACATATGGCCATCTACAATGTGAAGTGGATTTATATTTAAGTTAACACAATACAATATGAAACTTAGCTCAAAGAACCAACTAACTCTGCTTTCCAATTATGAAGAAATTAAGTGACTTGAAGTAAAATTATTTCACTCTGAGGTAATAAGAGTATTTCAAGAAAGAGTGATAGGGAAGGAAACATTAACTTCATACAGGGAAATTCATGGGACCACAGCAAACATATTAAATCAGATATACGTATAACCTAACATTCAGCAGTATCTTTTAAATATATGGTTAATGTACGATAGTAGCCTATCAATTAATCCTAGGCACATTGATAATATATTCTGAAATGGGCATCAAATAATGTTTTCTATAAAATGCATAGAAACAACTACTAAAGAGTCCATGCTTTCATCATTTCTTTTGTATGCAAGTCTGGGGAAGCATTCTTCAGACAAAATTACCAAGACTGGGCAAGATCCAAGGAATCCATTATTTAAATGGAAAACAGTCTTATTCATGCATTGAGTAATTGGGCACCCCTAATTTCTGCCAGTTCTTCCCTCCAGTAGCACCTTCTTTTGTCACATCCTTATCATTCTAGAGCAGTATTCTAGAATGGAGAACCAGTGTGGCGTAGTGGTTAAGAGCATGGGACTGGGACTCAGACGAGGATCTGGGTTCTAGTCCCCGCTCAGCCATGGAGCCAACTGGGTGACTTTGGGCCAGTCACAGACTCTCAGCCCAACCTACCTCACAGGGTTGTCGTTGTGGGGATAAGATGGAGGAGGAAATGTAAGCTGCCTTGAGCCCTTTGTAGGAAAAAGGCAGGATATAAATCGCAATATAAATAAATATATTCTGAAATCTGACACTATCCAGGACCTCAGTTCCCATAACTCAGCCATCAACCCTAGTGGATGGAATTATGGAAGCTGCAGTCCACACAGCTGGAGGGCTGTAGGCTGGGGAAGACCATTCCGTAGCATCTCCCAACCCCTAGGAGACACAAGGACTGCACCAGGAAGAAAGCAGAAAAGACAGTGAACCGGCAGTACTCTGCTCGTGCTTTTCTGGATCAAATCCACATTACATCACTCTCTCATGCATACCTTCCTGAGCCTTGCTGGAGTTCTGCTTTGTTATCATCACGTTCACACAGCACCCCAGGGCTGAAGCTCCAGGGCAGCTCTCAAAACTGTAATAGGAATATCTCACCTGTTGTTCATGTATCAAAAATCTCTGAAAGTCATGCAAATGCACCGCTGAAGCATCTGGACGGTCTGTGTTTCTGCAACAAAGGAAGCATGGATAAGAACCATTATTACATGTCATCAGTGAAGCTGACACAGAAGCATACAAATACACCATCACAATACCAAGATTGGTATATGGGGGAAAAGGCACCCTATGAAAGCAAAGTCTGACTACCATGTGCTGTCTTCAAGCTGTAGAAAGTTTGGCTAAGTAGGCGTGAGTGTAAGGAAGTAACTAATGGAGCTCCTTAGAAGACACCAAAATATAACATCATCTTGGGAAAGGGCTTAAGAATGACATTTTTATTTAAAATAAGAAACACTAGCAATTGACCTTCTTTTGTATCCCTTTCCTTTTTCAAGTCATTCTTGGTTCTGGGGCGAAGGATAAGAAAGCAGGCAGAATGATTCGTTTGGAGGGGGAATCCCTATGCAAAATTCGCCCTTTTTCCATTTCAGCATTCACTGAGCAGTTCAACTCTTTAAGTTTAACACTAATCCTAGTTACTTTAATCCTTTGGCTAGGATTTACAAAGAAAAAAAGTTTCTGGCTGTGAATTGTACTTGTGGCCATTGTTTAGTCTTTGACAAAGACAAAGAATACTAACTTCTTCCACAAAAGCTCTATAGATACAATCAAAATCAAACTTTACACTGGATACAATTTTCACTTGCAGACTGCTGATAAAATTCATTCAACTATATATTAATTACATAATAAAAACATAACTCACACATCACTTTATATCAAGAATTCTGGCTGAGTAAGGCACAATATGAACAAGTTGGATACTGTTACATGCACTCTATTAACTTGTCTTACTGACTGATATATATGCAAACTGCAGTTTCCAAAACATGGCATCCCAAGTTTCATATGCAATAGCAGACTTCTTACCCTAAAAAAAACACAGTGGAATCCTTCTTGAATTCATCGAGAATCTGTGAGGGAAAAGATGACACAGCATGTAACTTACTACAGAATAATTACTGCTGTAAAAAAGAATGCATGATGCCAGCCATGTGATCTGCAACAATTCCAAGATCTTTCCTACTGTTATTATTGCTAAGCAAAGTACCCCACATATTGGAACTGTGCATTAGGTTCTCTTTTCCTACGTGTAGAACTTGGGATTTATCCCTATTAAATTTAATTCTGTTGTTTTCAGCTTATACTCCAACTTATAAGGATTATTCTGAATGCTGTTTCTGTCTTCCAGGGAAATTAGCTATCCCACTCTGTTTTGTATCATCCACAAGTTAGATCACCATTCCCTGAACCTCCTCATCCAAACCATTAACAGAAATATTGAAGAACACTGGCCTCAGAACTGAACCTTGCGGTACCCCACTTACCTGTCCCCAGTTTGAACAGGCACCATTAATAAGCACTCTTTGAGTCTGATTCTGTAATCAACTGTGGATCCACCAGATAATTATTTCACCTAGTCTAATTAGTTTGTTGATCAGAATGCCATGGGGCACTTGGGCAAAGTCTTTGCTGAAGACATGATAGATTATATTTACAGCATTCCCACAAGTCCACATAGGAAGTTACCCTATCAAAACATGAGATGAGATTAGTCTGACAAGACTTGTTCTTGATAAATCCATGCAAGTTTCTAGTAATTACTGCACCATCTTCAAGATGCTTACAGTCTACTTATAATGATCACCATCTATTACCTCTCTTATCTGTTCCAGAATTTTCCCAGGAACTGATGTCAGATCCACTGGTCTAGTTCCCAGGATCCCCCTTTCTGCCATTTTTAAAGAGAAGGACATTAGCCCTCCTCCAGTCATCAGGCACTCCACCTGTCCTCCATGATTTCTCCAAGACAACAGACAGTGGTTCTGAGAGTTCTTCTGCCAGTTGCTTTATTAAGCAAGGATGCAGTTAATCAGGCCCTGAAGATTTGAATTCACTCAATGAAATTAGGTGTTTTTTTGGCCATGTGTTTATTAGCCTCAAGCTCTCATTTCTTTTAGGGAGTCACAGACCCGCTTTTGGGAGAAGACTGAGCCAAAGTAGAAATTGAACACTTTCACCTGCCTTTGTCATCTGTTATCAACTTGCCCTCCTCACTGAAAACTGAACCACCATTGCTTTTATCTGTCTTCTACTGTGAGCATACCTGAAATAAACTTTTTTGTTGCTGCTTTTATGGTCCCTTGCTAGCCTTAGCTCATCCTCAGTTTTGACTTTCCTGATTTCATTCCTGCACTTTGTGCCACCTGTCAGTACTCGTATTTTGTCTAATCCAAGGCATACCTGGGTAAGTCCATAGCTCATCACAACACACATGGGTTTCAGTCCTACACCACAAGGACTCTCCACCAAGTCTGCTCTTCTTTTCTTTTTGCTCAACTGACTTCTTGCCTCTTGCTCCGTTGCACAAGGTTCTCCTGTAATTCTTCCTCTGTGGGCTGTCCTCCAGTTCCAGGTTTGGACCCAAGGGCCTTATTGTCCCCTTCCAAGTCCACTATTCTATGATATTATGACCCCTAAACTTCTGAATCAATAAAACTACAAGAAAGAATCTAAGGTGAACAAAGGAGAATGGAAGGTTTGCATTCTAACAAACCACTGCTCATGTTAAAACAGACAGATTTATGGACTAAGAAAAAGTAATTTTTCCTCATTTATATGCAATAGGAGTGAAACAGTTACCAATTTCTGTTGCTCAAACATAATTTTCTTGTAGAACAGATGAAATTGCTCAAAGCTAAGCTCTTCTTTAACAGCGTTTATTTCCTGTTTTAAAAAAAGCAAACAATAGGCAGTTTGATTTTCTCCACAAGCAATGAATACACAAATAACTCAGCAATAAGATGTACACTCATTTAACTGACCTAATTACCTATATGAAGAACAAAGAAAATATGAACTATATGAGATATTTATTTATTTAAAACGTTTTTACCCCATCCATTGCGAAACACACCTCAGGACGGCTTACCAAGGTTAAAATGGTAATATAATGATACAATAAAGCAGTAATTAAAACATTAAGTAATAAGCACAGCATAACAACCACTTTCAAAAACTAAAGAAGAGGAGGAAAGGAAGAAAAAAGAAGGAAAATAAAAAAGAAAATGTGACTGTGATCAGATCTTAAAATATCTAAAATCCTTAATTATTAATATGATACTTTAGATACTTCTATACAAGTTAAACGGCAAACCATAATGCATTCAGATTACAGGAAGCCAATCCAGTCTCAATGCTGTATTTAGTTACCTGGCTTTTTCAGTCTCATTTTCTTGAGCTGAACATTTTTCTGCTCAACTCAAAAAGTTGATAAACTCTGAAAAGTGTTACCCTTGATCTTAGTTAAGGCTCCACAGTCTGAATATATTAAGTATGGAGCAAATGAAGGTCAATGGGTCAGGGAAATGTAAAGTATCGCTTGTGTAAAGTATTGCTTGAACTGACAGATAATCTATAGGTGGGGTGGAGAACTTCAGGCCTACAAGGTTACCTAACCCTAAACCTTCTGGAATCGCAATCTCATTCTTCAAGGTCCTCCATTTCCCCTTAATACTGATTATTTGCTTGTTTTCCAGCTTAGCACACTGTTTTTCTTCATTCAGCAAAGTTGAAGTAACTTTCCTATGGCTTAGTTACTGATTGTAGAAGCTTCAAGCTACAATATTCTGATTTATTTGTTTATTTGGTGTGTCTGACTTCACCCCTTTTGGCTTCAGCCCTACCCACTACTGGAATAAGACCTCCAAGAGCTTCTCCAAAATTGCACTTGGTTCTTTAGGTAAAATAACCCCCCCCCCAAAAATGTAAAAACAATTAACATTGTGCAGTGTACTAAAATCAAACATTTGAAGAGGAGTGGTAAACAGAAGCTTTAAAAGTACAAAAGCAACAATGGGACTAAAAGCTCTTGAGCTCCATAGCTCAATCTCCAAAGACACCATTATCATGCATTGCACTTATATCCCATCTTTCTTCTTGCAGGGAACCCAAGGTGGCTTCCAAAGCTCTCCTCTTCTCCATCTTATCTTCACAATACCAACTCTGTGAGGTAGGTTATGCTGAGAGCCAGTCACTGGACCAAAGTCACCCGGGGGTTTCATGGCTGGGTGGGGACCAGATCCCAGCTCTCCTGTGTCTCAGTCCAGCACAGATATACAAACTGCATGAAAATACTGGGGACACAGCCTGTTCAGGGCAGGAAGTTGTCTCTAAGTCTGGCTCTGCACCAGTATTCTCAAACTGACAGGGGGTGAAAAGCCTTCATGTCTTATTTCCCTCATACAAATGGGAAATATCTTCAGGTAGTGAGAACAGTGCACAGACACTAGGTGCTGCCCACTGGACACATCAGTCAGGGGAGGAAATTGGACTTGAGACACACCTCCTGGGGTCTGTATCCCTGCAATCACATCCTCTCCCTGGAAATCCTTTTTGCACCAAAGGCAGGGCCGCTCCTTTGCCACCACAAGGGTCTCAAAGGGAGGAAAGCCTGTGCTTCAAGGATGGGCATTCTTAGCCCTGCTAGTCCAAAGAGCGGGCCACCCTTTTCACAGGTCCCCACCGGGATTCATTATCCAGAAAGATGAAGGGCAGCTAGTCTGGAAAAAGTAACCAGCACCAAATACCAGTGGAGGGGAAAACCTTTATCGCCGCAATGACATGCCAATTTTTATTTTTCAGTGTATTCATGCATGCAACAAGCATGACGACAGCTGTGACAGTTGATAAGAGGAAGATGTTATCTATGCACATCCAAGATTTGAAAACAGTCAACTCATACTTACTGCAAACTTATCTTTCAGGAACTTTACACTGCTCACTTTAAAGTTCACTGATGGAAGCACCGTCTTTAGTTCTCTAAGGCTGATGCTGGAAGCAGGAAAACGGGAAATGTTTAGCAGCAGCATTCATGCGGCAAAACTACCTATCACAAGGATTGCATTCCAGCAACATGCAAGTTACAGTTAATGGCCTGAAATATATCTGGAGGGGGTGGGCGACCACTTCTTTCCAGTCTGCACATACTAGAAAGAAGCATCCACAGTTCTGTGGCAGAGCATATACTTTAAATGTGAAAAGATGCAGGTTCAGCCTTTGGCAGCTCCAGCTGAAAGGGTATGAAGAAATATCATGAAGAGCTTCCACCTAAATAGACAGTATGAGGCTGGAGGGACAATTAGTCAGATTCAACATAACACAGCTTTGTAAAAGTATTCATCCCACTTTGACTTTTCCACATTTTGTTGTGCTACTACCTGGAACTGAAATGGATTTAATTGGCACTGTTACCACTTGATGTACACAAGACACTCAAAACCATGAAGCTGCAAAGTATTTTTATTGTGTCACAAAAACAAACAAGCAAGCAAACTGGCATTTGTTGTTCACATAAGCATTTACCCGCTTTGCTATGACATGTCTAAATATCTTCTGGTATAATCATCAGCCTCCAGAAGTCACAGATGTAGCGTAAGTAGTTGATGGAGTCTACCTGCATGCAATTCCAGTGCCATGTTATCTCAGATTAAATTCAACTGTTCCTGGAAAGTCTCAGATTTTGTTGGAGGGCATATATAAACAAAGAAGACAAATGAAGACAAAGACCAACTCCAGGATAAAGTTGTGAAGAAGCACCACAATCAGGATTGGGTTATTTAGTGTACAAGCAGAAAGAACATGGCTCTGTAGAGAAGACCACCTACCAAAACTCAGTGACTGGGTAAGGATGGCATTGGTCAAAGAAGCAACCAAGAGGCCAGTGTTAACTCTGAAAGAACTGAGATGGAAAAACACATCCAGGGCACAACTACTACTCAGATGCTCCACAAAGCCTTATGGAATGGTAGCAAGAAGAAAGCTAATGCTTAAACAAACCCATCTCAAATTTCACTTGAGAGTTCATAAAGTGGCATGTGGGAGACATTTGCAAAATTTTTCTGTGGTCTGATGAGAAAGGTCTTCATGGGGGAAAGACAGGATTTTCCTAAGTTTATACACAGCTCCAACTCAGTGAATAAAATGCAGGTAGTCTTGATAGAACACAGTGGGTCTCACTTAAATGGTGCCACATCAGTTGGCCAGGTAGGGGTAAACCTGGACCTCATAGGCATATGTGGGCACAGACTACTGTCATGCACTTCATGAAGACCCTTGGGGCTATGGGCAGTCCTAATAACAAAACTGAAAAGCCTCTCCTCCCCTCTGGAAAAAGACGAAATGCTTGTTCAAGGTCTCTATGGAAATGTGGAATGATGTGCCCTTTAAATCGATGGAGGGGCGACAATCATCTTCTTCCAAGAAAGGCAGAACATTCTGCAGCATGACGATACAGAATTTCTTTGGTGTGACGAAGGCGTTGGTGTCTCTGGCATCCAGGACTGGTCAAAGCTCCGAACTCCAGTACCATAAAATATCTGGAGTAGAAGCCATCTTTGAATTGGAAAGGAGGGACCTATTCTACTGTTGTTGTTCAGTCGCAATGTCATTTCTGACTCTTCATGAGCCCATGGACAACATTCCTGCAGGTTCTCCTATCCTCCACCATCCCTCGGAATAAACCCAACCTCACACCCACCTCTCCAGTGAATCCATCCGGCCACCTCAACCTCTGCCATCCCCTCCTCCTTTTGCCTTCAATCATTCCCAGCATCAGGGTCTTCTCCAGTGAGTAGTTCCTTCTCATTAGATAGCCAAAGTATTTGAGCTTCAGCTTCAGTATTTATCCTTCTAAAGAACAGCCAGGGGTGATTTCCTGTTGCATAGTCCCCTTCAAAAGCAAAGAGCCTACTTCTGTAATTAAAGTTGTAGATGGAGCTGCCTTGCAATTCCGAGAGGCGAGAGGGCATCAAACTCAATCTGGTATCCCTGTGCTTCAATAAATAGAACCCAGGGGTCCAGTGTTATTGTTCCCCAAACAGGAAAGAAGAAAGGTGTTGGCCAGAGGCTGAAGTGCGCAAAGAGGGGCAAGTCCAAGGAGTCAGTCATAAATGGTGCCTGTCCACATCAGAACACCTGAACTCCTGGTATCTAGAGGTAGTATCCATGCACCCTCAGGCAGCTGTCAAGCTGCGTGGTCTGTTTGTGCCAGTGGTAGATAGGCAAGGCTGACTGGGACGGAACCATGTAGAGGATGGTATGGTCTCAACAATAGTGGATGGTTAAGTCCCATCATCTGGGTGGTTGCCCTCACTTTCTGAACCAAGTCCACCTGCTCATCCATCTTTGCACTGAAGAGCCCATCCCCATTGAATGACAGATCTTCAATCCAGGAACAGCCCTCCTATCATAGACCAGAACAGAAAAGTTATGCACGCTTTCTCAATATCACTGTTCCAATCATCACCTTTGCTCTGCAGTTGGCTTGGTACTAGCTGTATGAATCTGCTAGTGGGAGAGGTGTGAAAAACCCTGACCAACTCTCTCTGGTCACAGAGGAAACGGATCTTAACCAAAGAAAGAGCTGATAGCAGGCCATGGTAGCCTAGTGGTTTGCTACCTTGAGCCTCACAGCAGAAGACAAGTAGCTGCACCTCCCCACCACGTCCGGGTGGCAGCGCACCCCGCTGACCTGTGTGAAATGTTCCCAGTGTGACCTTCCCTGAGCAGTCTTGATGACTGCTGTGCCATCTGCAGGAGTGTTGGCAGGAACAGTATAGCAACTGGGACTGACATCTCTGTTTAGACCATGTCAAATACAGGGCCCCTTGTTCTCTCTGTTGTTTACTGTGTCCAGGCCTAGAGATGGGGGCATTTGGATGATGGCCAGTTTTCTTATGGAGATGCTGGGTTCTGGGTTCCCACAGCTGGTTCAGGAGATTAGAGACACAGAGCCAGTGATGATAATGAAGCCATATCATATGCATCATCCTCCAGTCCAGATGGTGGAGACTAGTCTTAGTCCTGAGAATACAGGGCCAAGTGATGATGATTGTTGCACTGCTATGAAAGAGGTGGTGGTATGGTCCAGGGATGGTTCCCAAAGGGGCTGAGACCAAGCAGCTGGCAGTGGGAACCTAGGTGGTAGTGAAGAAGGCATCCAAATGCAGTGTTTCCATGTAGGTGCTCCCACCCTCCAAAATAAGGCTTGTGATGGAGTTCTCATAAGTGCTGAGGATCACTGAAGGTTTCTTGATCCTGATAGAGTTTGTAGAATCCTCTGTATGTCAGAGCAATGGACCATTCCAAGCACCTCTCCCAGTCCAAGAGAGGACAGCAAAAGTAGTGTTGACGGTAGTTGGATTTGATGCAGGCTGGCTCCACCTGAACTGGTGAGATGGCACCTGACAGTGCAATCCCAAGGCTGAAGAAGGGGAATGGGCATGTGACGATGCATTCTGGATCCCTCCTCTTAACATCAAAGAAACCAGTTCCTAGCTCATCACCACAGAGACGGATTCAAGAATGGTTAGTACTGATGGGGGTTGCGATGTCGAATCCAAGTGGCAGGTTCTCAAATGTCACTTGTGGCCCTTTGATTTAGCAGCTTCCACCAGTGGCAACTTTGTCCCTCTTTGCCAACTTCCTGACCTTGGAACCTCAGGTGACCACACAGGCACCAGCACTGTGGACAGGCCCATATGAGAGGCATGACCAAAGCATGTGGAGTTGAGTGAGGCTGCAGCCTATGAGGAACAACACCTGGCAGGAGCCCGCGCCCGCGCCCGAGAACCGCGCTGCGCCCGAAGACCGCGCGAAGACCGCGCCGCGCCGCCGATTCCGCCGCTACCTGACTGCCCTGCCACGCCCCTGCACACGTGGCAGGCGTGCCCGGGCGGGGTGGGGCGTCGGGCGGCCGACGTTATGTTCACATGACTCCAGTCCTCCGTCAGCTTCACTGGCTTCCCATTGAAGTCCGGGCCCAATTCAAGGTGTTGGTGATGACCTATAAAGCCCTAAACGGCTTGGGTCCTGGTTACCTGAAGGAGCGCTTACGTCCATATTTGCCCAGTCGCCCCCTGAGATCGGCGGGAGAGGCCCTTCTCCGAGTAGCCACCCTCCTAATTTCTCTCACGGAGGGCTCCCGG